TCATTATTTTAAATGGCTATATCAGATTTTATCTAATGAACATATATACATTATTTAATAGTCCCATTGTTGGCCCTTACATGAGTTCCAATTTTTTCTAGGCAAATATCCTTATAGGTAAGACTTAGGAGAAATTCTTATTATTTCATTAGGATAACTAAAAATGGGATCCATGGGCCAAAGGGCATGTAGATCTTTTGGGTTTTTTATATAAATTGCCAATTTCTATTCCCATGAGAAGGGTATGAGAGTGCTTGTTTCCCATGCCCTTTGCTGACAGCTACATTAGTTCTTAGGCCACAGTTTCTTTAATCATGAGTATCAAAAGTTGCTGATCTTACATATAGCTCCCTACTATGTGTAAGATCTCTACCAGGAGATAGAGCTGAGAATTTGAATGTCCCCCACCGCCTTGTTTTTTTCTCACTTTGTTGCCCAGGCTGTAGTACAGTGGCGTGATCACAGCTCACTGTAGCCTCAACCTCCCCAGGCTCATATGCTCCTCCCATCTCAACCTCCCAAGTAGCTGGGAATACAGGCATACACTGCTGCATCCAGCTAATTTTTCTTTTATTTTTTTGCAGATGTGGGGTTTCCCCGTGTTGCGCAGGCTGGTCTTGAACTCCTGAGCTCAAGGGATCCTTCCACCTCAGCCTCCTTTTAAAGTGCTGGGATTACCGGTGTGAGCCTCCACACCGACCTCTATTTCTTTCTTGACCTGGGCTCCTCCTGTTCTGCTGTCTGTGACATCCTGGGAGGAAGCTGTTGTCCTTCCCCAGGTGGAGGAAATAGTAAAGAGACTAATAAATCGGTGGTGTGTACCACAGGGCTTTATAAGAAACCTTTTATGTCTTTGGATCTTCTGCTAAACGAAGGTACAGCACTGCTTTTTGACACATAGGTACATCTGTATATTGGACACATTGCCCTTCCAAACGTTTAACAAAGATTTATTTGCCAGCATGTACTAGATTCAAGGCTCTAGGTTAGAGAATTCAAACCCCAACAAACTTACAGTTGATAGGGATACAAAAATAAGATAGTGCAAAGCATGGCAGCCTGTGATCAGTGTAACCAGGGGCTTCTGAGGAGAAGCTTACATCAGAGGACTTGTTGAGCAGCTCCTCAATTCAGAATACCTTCACTTGTGCTGTCGTTACGGGCTGATGTGGCATGAAAGCACCAGGACTCACATAGCTCTGGGTTCCTCCGCCTTCTAACTATGTGGCTTTGGGTAAATTACCTCTTCTGAGCCCTATTTCCTCACCTGTAAAAGCAGGATAATCTCATTTACCTGTGATCATTGTGGGAACTCAATGTGAGAATAAAGGTCAAGGGTCTGGAGAAGCGCAGGGGTAGGCCGTCCACACAGGGAAGCGCTTCTTTTTAGCAGGTGCCCTCTCCATTTTGCAGGGGGTAAGGGTCTGAGGTTCAATTTGCACAGTGCTGTGACGTTTTTCAAAGCTTCCTCATATCTCATTTCACCCATTCTCCCGGTAGCTTTGATGTTTGCCAAGCAGGTAGTAGTCTCCCATTGCAAAAATAAAGCCATAGGTGCAGAAAGGTTGAGGGAATTGGAAAGATTAGACAACTAGTTAATGGGAAAAACAAAAACTAAAAGATGGTATTTTTACTTACAAGTGTGAACTAGGATGCATTTTCCAAAACAACTACATGAATTGTTCTTTTTTTCTTATTTTCATTTATTTATTTATTTTTTTTGAGACGGAGTCTCACTCTGTCACCCAGGCTGTAGTGCAGTGGCGCGCAATCTGGGCTCACTGTAACCTCTGCCTCCCAGGTTCAAGCGATTCTCCTGCCTTAGCCTCCCAGGTAGCTGGGATTACAGGTGGCTGCCACCACACCCAGCTAATTTTTGTATTTCTAGTAGACACGGGGTTTCAACATCTTAGCCAGGCTGGTCTTGAACTCCTAACCTCGTGATCCACCCACCTCAGCCTCCCAAAGTACTGGGATTACAGGCGTGAGCCACCGTGTCCAGCCATATTGTTTTTTTGTTTTTAAGACAGAGTTTCTGCCTGGCACGGTGGCTCACGCCTGTAATCCCAGCACTTTGGGAGGCCAAGGCAGGTGGATCACGAGGTCAAGAGATCGAGACCATCCTGGTCAACATGGTGAAACCCTGTCTCTACTAAAAATACAAAAAATCAGCTGGGCATGGTGGTGCGTGTCTGTAATCCCAGCTACTCTGGAGGCTGAGGCAGGAGAATTGCCTGAACCCAGGAGGCGGAGGTTGCGGTGAGCTGAGATCGCACCCATTGCACTCCAGCCTGGGTAACAAGTGTGAAACTCCATCTCAAAAAAAAAAAAAAAAAAAAAAAAAAAAAAAAGACAGTTTCACTTTTATTACCCAGGCTGGAGTGTAATGGCACGATCTCAGCTCACCACAACCTCCGTCTCCATGGTTCAAGCGATTCTCCTGTCTCAGCTTCCTGAGTAGCTGGTATTACAGGGGCATGCCACCACACCTGGCTAATTTTGTATTTTTAGTAGAGACAGGGTTTCTCCATGTTGGTCAGGCTGGTCTCGAACCCCCAACCTCAGGGGATTCGCCCACCTCAGCCTCCCAAAATGCTGGGATTACAGGTATGAGCCACTGCACCCGGCGTATTTTTTTCTAAATAGCTATTACCTTAGAGCGGGTGTCCCCAAACTTTTTACACAGGGGGCCAGTTCACTGTCCCTCAGACCGCTGGAGGGCCGCCACATACTGTGCTCCTCTCACTGACCACCAATGAAAGAGGCGCCCCTTCCTGAAGTGCGGCGGGGGGGCCGGATAAATGGCCTCAGGGGGCCGCATGCGGCCCGCGGGCGGTAGTCTGGGGATGCCCGCCTTAGAGTTTTCTATTAATACCAATATTTTCTTACCATGTTACCTTGCAGCTTCATTATGTTGTCAGCCAAACACAAACACGCACACATACCTGCACACAAAATTTTCCCTAAACCAAAAGTGAATTTGTTCATGTTTGACCTTATCCACTCTCTCATATCTATCCTGGAGGATCTTCACCTGGATCCAGAATGCCCCTTTTGCCCATTGTTGCTTTCTAGCACAGACGGAACCCCTCCCCCTCTTTTTCCATCTGGCCTGAGCACCTCAAGACAGCCCCTTTCCAAAAGAGCTATTTCTGTTTGGCTGTCGACAACCTCTTTCATCACTGTGCCTGAGACTGGCTGATCAAATGTGGGCCACTTGATCCAAGCCCTCCCTATAAAGCCAAGAGGTCATCATCTCCCTTTGTCATTTACCAAGCATTAGAGACTTCCCCAGGACTGGGAAGACTTCCCCTCTCCATGCAGCCTTGATTCCGTAGGAAAGGAGGCCAGCTGGTATGAGGCTGGATGTGTGAGGTCAAATACTGGTGGTGGGGGGCTGGGTTGTATAATTCCTATAATTTACTGAATAGCTAATAATGTTCTTGACACTTAGGTTACATTATCTGTCTCCTTTAATCTTCGTGCTACTGTAGCCCCATTTCACAGATGAGGAAACCGAGGCTCAGAGATGTATACATGTTTCTTCTTTCATGTATTATTTTTCAATAAGGGGCCACTTTCCTCCATGTCCCACCATTCTGTCTTAGCTGAGAAGTTAGAAGCAAGCAAGCATCAAGTCTCTCATGTGCAGAATTTAATGAGTATTAAGAGTATATGCTTTTTTGACCAAAATGTGTATCTTGCTTTTATTATTTAATTCTGGCTGTGAGATATTTTTATTTGGTAAGAAAAATGATTATTTAAATAGTATTTATTTGTACACATATTATCTGCTGTGTTCCAATGAAGATTTAAGCAATTTCCTTCACTTCAATAAAACACGTGATCCTTATTGCTTGAGTGAGCTCATCCATGTTTCCAATAACCCATGTGTACAGTCAGCTGCCAGCTTCAGCTACCAGAGCCATGACCTGCCTTTTGCATATTGGGGTTTTTCTTTTCCTGGTAATTTGACTTCATTCATCAGAAACACAAATTAAATGTAAATTTCTGGATTTAAAAAGATTTCTTTGGTCCCTAAATGTTTCCCAAGTCAGAGTCCTGATTCAGACTTCTGAAGATAAAGATTAGGGGTAGGAAAGGGTAGGAACTAACACATCTTATTCACAAACAGCAACATCATCAGTAAACAAATGTGGAAAAAGTGTCCATAGTCACAAATAATTAAAGTAATGCAAATTAAAGCAACAATGAGGTCTAATTTTTCACCTCTCAAATTAGCGATACATTTTAAAAATGATACCGCTTACAAGTCCCGTGAAACTGGTAATGCATCCATTGCTGGTAGTTGGTGTAAATTGGAAAGCAATTTGATAGAATGAATAAAAAGCCTTGAAAATGTTTATATCTGTTGACTTAGTAATTTCATTCCTGGGAATTTCCATAAAAAAATAATACGAAAGAAATAAAAACTGCAGTATTTATCACTGGTATTTCAAAAGTTAAAAAACAATGAAAAAGAATAGAAAGAATCCTAAATGCCCAATAGTAGTGGAATATTGAATTCGTGGTGTATTAAATTATTGTATATCTGCTCAATGATATATGCATTCAGTAAAATTTTTGTGATGACTTTGTAGCAACATGAGAATGCTTATAATATATTAGGAAAAAGCAGGATATAAAATTATGTATGAGCTGTGATTGCAAGTAATTTTTAAATGTCTGCATGTGGACAAAATGAATATATAAAAATGAAAATAGCCGTGTAAGAGAGTAGGATGAGCCATAATAATTGTTTTCCTCACTGTTGTGAATTATTATGTTAATCTTTATAATTTAACGTGGATGGTGTTGGTTTCTCTAGTTCTTAAAAGTCAAAGAGCCAAGTTAGTCATCCATTCCCTCCATGTTCATCAGGAGGACAGGCTCAGAATGTCACGGAGAGAGTTGCATGTCAGGCCTCTCCATTGTGGGGTGAGAGGGAGCACAGGTGCCAGAACTCCACTGCCAACCTCGGACCATCCTTCTCCCTGCAGGATATTGCCGAGAATGGCTGCGCCCCGACTCCCGAAGAGCAGCTGCCGAAGACTGCACCTTCCCCACTGGTGGAGGCCAAGGACCCCAAGCTCCGAGAAGACCGGCGGCCAATCACAGTCCACTTTGGACAGGTGTGTACCATGCCCTCCTAGGTGTCCATTTTGGTTTTTCGGATTTCGTTTTTAGCAGCAGCTGTAGCACATGCAGCAGTCAGTTTCGCATTTCAGTTCTCTCTGGCAGTGCGGCTCCATGGAGGTTTTCACATCTTTAAATGTTTATTTGATGTAAACACATTTTGGAGGCAAATTTTTAAAACTTGGAGGAGACAGCATGGCTGAGGTCATAAATGAGCTGGATGTTGAATGAAGTCATTAGATGCACTGATGCCTCCCCTACGCCAAGGCACTCTGCCTAAGGTGCCTCTGTTAGCTAAGCATCTCATTAGAACACTTTAGCATCCCGGGCCCTTCTTTGCACCTTCAAATAAAAGGCAACAAGCGAAGTCTTAAAAAAGAAATCAATTAGGAGTTCTTTATTAATGTACTTCCTGAAAATCAATATCAGGAGTTGTGCTTCTGAGAGTAAACACTCGTGCTACAATTCTACACATTCAATTCTTTAAATAACTGTTTTCAACAACCTGAGCGTTTGAAAAATTATCTGTTTTTTTCCCTTTAGTAAAACATTGCACTCTGTATAGAAACTAAAATTTTTCATCCCCTTCCTACTTGTAGTTATATTTTTGGTTGAAAAGGATTGTGTACCCTTTCCTGCATCTCTTGAATTGACTTTTGGTTAGTGAAAGTCGTCATTTGGAGGGATTTATGAGAAATGGCTCTTTTAGCAAGATGTGGCTATAGCAAGAATTTGCAGGGTTATTTATTTTTAAATCACCTGGTTCTGTAGCCATTTATTAGATGATACATGATTCAAAGTCTTTATGGTTTTTATCTTAAATGTGATCGCTATTTCACCACCTGTAAAGAACCTAGAAGCCTACGTTCCTGTTTTGAACAGACCTTTATCAGGGGCCTACTATGCACCAGCCATTGAGCTATTCAGAAATGAAGGGAACTGACAAAATTCTTGCTATAGGTTATTACCGTAAGGGGCGAGTTGGTTGGAACATAAAAGTCACCCTTCTCTAATCAATATTTTCAGATAATATACGTTTATACATCTTTAACTTGGGGAGGTTCACCCCTTTTCTGATTTTATACTTAAAAGAATGTTATAAAAATCGAAATGAAATGCAAGAAAGAAGAATCCACAGGGTGATACTCATTTAGTTAATGAGTATTTTCAAATTGCACTGTGTCCGCACCCCTGAAGAGTCGCCTCCCCCAGCCCCAGGCTCAGGCCCTGTTGGAGAAATCCGCACCCCAGTTCCCTGGCTGTGTTTGCTGAAAGCACAGCCCCTGGTTGTCGCCAGCGTGGCATTCCAGAGTCAGCTTCCTGCTTTCCTTTGTCCTCATTCCTGCACACACTAACCTTCCCATGAAAGGAGCCCCTCACTGGAGTTTGGAGCCCATTACAGAGAAAGAGGGGGCGGGGGAGAGGGATTTCATGGTGTTAAACATTCCATTTTCGAAACACACAAAAAAAGGAGGCCCTATTTGAAATGGAGAAAGACCTTCTTTCCATTTCAGCCAGAAGTAGAGATTCTTTAATGTTATTCCCAGCTAAATGCAGAATAAGAGTATGTGTGTGCGCACGGGTGGGGGATAAACAATTAAAAAAGCCACCCCAAACTCTGTTGAAATAAGAGCTGTCTGTGCCTTCACAGGTCTGCAAACTGGAGAGGATGAAAGTGGCTTTTTTTCCCCGTTTGTCACTTCCCTCACGTGGCTGCCAGCATTATGCAAGTGTACAGGAAGGCAGGATTTTTTTTTTAATGCATGCATGCGGATTAAGGTCAAGCCCCTAGTATCAGCCATGCAGCGGGCTCTCCCTTCCAGCTGCAGCCGCAGAGCCTACCCACAGCCGTGAGATGCCTTAATTGAGACGTGCTGTCAAAGTGACAAACACATTTGCATACAGTCTACACTCTATTTATTTTCTCTGGAAAGGTCTACAGTCTGCTGTTGGTTGAACATTCTTAATCAGTTTGCTGTAAGTGAACTGCCAGCTAGCTCAGTTGTGCCGGCCCCTTCTTCATTAGGTGACAGATTAGCTGCAGGGGGAGTGGGGGTTGTGCCAGGGAAACCACGGACCCCTTTCTTTTAACTCTTTGCAGCTTTGCCTTCATGGTAGGTTGTCCTTGAGTCTTTTCCTGGGTCCCTGGTTTGATGGACTGTTGACCGTAACAGGTAGCGTTTCTAGAGCACCTGCTACCGGCAGGCATGAGTTGTAAGGACTTGATATTCTTCCCAAAGAACAGCTTTGAGTTTCATTTCAAAAATTTTTACCACATTCTGTTACCATCTATACTGTTATTTTTACTTGATAGTTTTCTGTAAACAAGACTCAGACCAGACATCTACACCAATCTTAGCCTCATCTTCAGAGATGCCATTGGTAAAATTACAGGTTTGATATACTAGTCCAAGTTTATTCTAACATACGAAACAATTTTAAGTACTCACCTGTGGATCACCTAAAGCACTCATGTAGCCCTAGTGGTGTATATTCCCTCTTTTTGGAACCAACAGACTCCTCAGTGTCTTTTTTTGTTGTCTCCACCATATCCCTTTGAGGAAGGGACCATTAGCCCCATTTTACTGAGCTGGAGTCAGAATCATGAAGGAACCTGCCCAGGCCACTTCACCAGCTTAGAACCCCAAGCCCGGACAGCCCACCTGAAGTCCACACCAGCTCTCAAACCAAGCAGGAACTGCAGCCATGTGATACACCTATTATAAAGCTGCTGTACCCCACCCTGGGCAAAATCATCTTAACCAGTCAGAGAGAGCACCTATTTTAACCTCAAAAAAATTCTTGCCTTGGATCTGTGTTTCTGTGGATTTCATTCTTTAAGAACACTTAGCTTGCCAGTGGGGATGGAGACCGTTGAGACTGTTGCCTTCATTTCTCCACCTTGCAAAGCCGGTGCCTGTGCAGCCAGCCAGGGCAGCTCCACAGAGACCTCTGACAGCAGCTCCGCAGCGGGGGCTGGTGAGAGGCGAGCTTAGTGTCGAGGCAAGAGCTGCTACTGCCGGGGGAGAGAAGGTGCTGCCTTGCCCTCTGTCCGAGTGGAGTTCCTCCTTGCAGGCTGTGACCATTCCTCCATTTCGGCATGAATCCGTTCATCTATCTATTGAGACCTACCATGTATAAGATAAATAAGTTCTCAGTCCCCACCATTGCGGGACATAATGATAAGACAGACCAGCAGATGGACAGGCCCAGTTGGAGCGATAAAGACAATGAGGGAAGTGGGCTCCAGGCGCTCCCAGGGCCCCGCTCCCAGGGCCCCTCCCTCTTTCTCCAGGTCCGCTGCATAGTCATAGTTAGTCCACTTCAGAGTCCCAAGTCGGACCATAATTAAAAGATATTTTGTCAATAGCCTGACCAACATGGTGAAACCCCGTCTCTACTAAAAATACGAAAATTAGCTGGGTGTCGTAGCGTGTACCTGTAATACCAGCAGGCAGGAGAATCGCTTGAACCCAGGAGGCAGAGGTTGCAGAGAGCTGAGATCGCACCACTGAACTCCCGCCTGGGCAACAGAGCGAGACCTTGTCTCAAAACAAAAAAGCTATTTTGTCAACAAACTGAACTCCCTAATAATTCGTTTGTTTTCTAAAGCAGACGTATTTTAGGTCACTCAGCTTGTAAGGAGGAAAGTAAATAGATTTTTAGTTAGCGTCTGCCTCCTGATCACTGTAGTTTCTTTAAGAATGCAAAAGTATCAACTTGAGAATGCTTGTTCCTGCCTTGGAAGATGTTGCAGTTTAGAGAGGCTTTCAATTACTATTTTCCCCAATCAAGTTTAGTGTCATTGGGGAAACAAAGCCCAGGGGACAGTCAAATGAGATAAAAGTGCCAGCTGTGTTTATTGATAAGCCTAAAAGGAGAATATTGCATCAGACCTGAGGCCAAATGTTGCAAAAGCGTCACCTGAAAATGTGAAGACTGCGTTTCTCTAGGCAGGTCTTGCCAGGCTGGAGCTACCCATAAACTCCTAGCAAGGAGGAGCTGAGAGAGGGCCTTGCACTGGCTGCTCCCCAGGAGGGAGCTGGAAGGGGTGATGGAGCTCAGTTCCTTCTCCCAGACTTCCCGGGAAGGCATTCCTTCTCCTCTTCCTCTGGGCAGGACTGAGCAAGAGGGTGCTAGGCCAAGTAAAGGATTCCCCCCTGGTTTTCTCTCCTCAGGGAGGAAATGGAAGCTCCCTCCTTCCCAGGGCTATAGAAGGAGTGAGGGAGTGGTGTCTTCCCCAGCAGCCCTGGGCACCCCTTGGTTGTAAGAGCTGGCCTTGACCCTCTTCCCTCCCGAGACCCCCTGTGGAAACTCCTCTGCTCCCTACATTTAATAAGATGGGCAAGTCATAGATGCTTTCAAACCCGTGGGCACTGACTTGAGACTTTGCCATCAGCGGGCGAGGAAGAAGGTGTTTGACTCATGGTGCACATGAGGAGGCACGCTGGGACAGCGTTGCTGGAATAAGTAGCTAATTCCTACTCCAAAGCCAGCAACAGCAGCACCTCTGCTTCTCTTGGCCATGTGCAGCTCTCCCTCCTATCCGGGAGAATGGCCTGATTGTGTGAGTTCATTGATACTGGGCCTTAGTCTAAGGTGCCATGACTGAGGCTTCCCTAACAATATCACAGCAAACCCCTTCCAGGGCCCCTTCTTATGTTTCCCCCAAATGATTGATCCTGCAAACAAAGTAGGATCTTCCAATCCGCCTTCCGATCTGATAGATTCCAAAAAGCATGTATTAAAAAGTGCTGCCTCTATTCTTCACCCATCTGAGGAAAGGATTCTAAACCTCTTTAATGTAAAGTTTGAAAAGCTGGTTAAACCAAAATCAAAACCAAGCACCACTGTGGCTTCCAGGGAACTGGAGCAGAGAGGTCTGGATAGCAGCCCCACGAATAGCTCTTGGGATGTGGTTGCCAGCTTGTCCGTGCGTATGGAGAATTCTGGCATCAGGGGCATGAGCCAGATCATTTAGTGCCAATCCCATGCT